CAAAACGGCTTGTTGCATTAAAGAGAGGATACTTTAATTAATAATTGGTGATGTTTCCACAAGGATCCTTCAAGAAATGAATTTTGTAGCGAAATTTGAAAATTATCGATGAAAATTGCAACATCGAAAATTTTATCAAAACTTAAAAAATTGTTTTCTCAAAAACTAAAAGTTATTTTTCAAAACGGGTTGGTTCATTGGAAAGAAGACACTCTCATTAACACTTTGAAAAATTTGCATTATCGTATTCCAAGAACTGGATTTTATACGAATTTTTAAAACTTAATCGGCCCATATTGCAAAATTCGAAAAAATTGTCGATCATTTCAAAAATTTATTTCTCAGGAACTGAAAGTGATTTTTCAAAACGGCTTTTTGCGTTTAAAAGAGGATACTTTAGTTAATAATCGAAAGTGATAACAGCGACAGTTCTGTCAGTAATGAAGGTGATGATGAATTACAAGCGAAGAGAAGAAAACTAGACGAAACTGTAACAAGAGATTTTATATACCGTATTGGGATTGTTATGAGGTTGCTAATGACAAACCTGATACAAATAAAGTTGTATTCACTGAAAAAATGGGGTTGAACTTGATTATTATCTACAGTGTCCAAAACCTAAAAGAGATACTGCCTCTGTTCCAAATTATGGTATACATTTCTCTTTACAATTTGTCTCAAATTATGGTATACAAAACTTTGGAAACTGCTTTATTGTGTTTGTAAAATTAGTAATTCAATTTGTTACTTAATTTAAACATACATTAATGAAAATTTTACACATTTAAACACAATTCAGCTGGTTCAATGTAAACGCCCTTCATGGCGAAGCTTTTCTTTATTCATGAATTTTCATATTTTTCTCGATATCTATGCGTCTGAGAGCAATTTTGTTAAGAATATAATTTGCTACAACTTTCGCTCGAAAAGCTTTTCTGTAGCATGCTCAGATTCAAATTTATACAATTTTATAGTTGTTGCCTGCTGAGGCCATCATGGTTGACTCCATGCACTTTTGTAGTGTCGAGAATACGTTATCTAACTTTTCTTTAGTTAATACGTCGAAGGCACTTTTAACACAATCTATTAATTCATTCATAGTTTTTGGCGATGTTTGCTGGGGATTTTGAAATTTTGAGAATTCCTGGCTTGAACCTAAGAAATGGTGATATATATGGTAGCATCGGTTATGAATTATAATACCTTGATTTATTATCATTAATTTTTATGCAAACGTTTTTCCCTATCACCTTTAATTTTCTGCTTATAACAGAATTAACATATAAAATTTAAAATAAGGTAAAAATTAAAAGAGCTCTTTTTCAGTTTTCTAATAAATATACTTAGTACCGGTTTCGATAATTACTTATCATCATCAACTAAATCTACAAGCGAAATTATAATAAAAGTATATAGAAATAAATAAAATAAATAAATAAGTAAACTTACAGTCAAATAAATAATAAAAGTCACAATATAAAATGATTTAAAAACTAAAATAACGAAAAATTAAGATGTAAGTAAAGTGGACGACACTGAACAACACTACAGGTTAAAATGGAGCAATCACAAAAGAATAAAATAAGTTTCACGGATATATTAAAAACTAGAATTTTAAGTATGAGTATAAAGGTTTGTAAATGGAGCAAAGCTTTTAGCGTTTATCTATCTCGAGTTGTTCTAAAAGGTCTAATTTTTTACCCTTCCTACAGTTGTGTAGGAGAGACACATTGTTATAATCGATGTCATGATTAAATTCCATTTTATGTTGGTAGACATTTGAAGAAGAAGTATTTTTATGTTCCTTGATTCTTTTTGCGAGTTTTCTACCTGTTTGGCCAATGTATAATGCCTCACATTCATTACATTTAATAGAATAAACTCCATTTTTATTTAACATATGTTCTTTGCTTTTAAAATTAGACAATATATCTATAAGTTTGTAGTTATTTTTAAAACCAATATTGATATTATTTTGTTTTAGAATATTTTTAATTTTATAATTTATGTCATTATAAGGTAAAGAACGGAATGTGGTGTATTCATTAGTATCCTTAGTAAACAATGGGTCTAATTTTATTATAACGTTACATAGTATTTTGTTAATTATATTTGGGGGATAGTTATTTTCTATGGCAAGTTCATTTATGAAATTAAATTCGTTTTGTATAGAAGTTGCATTAATAGAATATCTTAGCATTCTGTAGATGTACGATTGGAATACAGAAAATTTATGATTGTTAGGATGGTAAGAGTCATAAGGTATAATTGTGTTCAAATTTGTTGATTTCCTATATATGTCATAATTTAGATCTAAGTCATTTCTATTTATAGTTAAGTCAAGAAAATTAATTTTTCTATCTTTTTCAATTTCTAAGGTGAATTTCAACTTCTCATGAATATTATTTATATAATTTAACATTGCTATAAGATCATCGTTGGTAGCTTCCCATAGACAGAAAACATAATCCACATATCTAATCCATTTTTTGATGTTGTTATAGATATATTGTCTAATTTTATAAGCGAAGAACATTATGTTAAATAAAAATGGAGTATATTCTATTAAATGTAACGAATGTGAGGCATTATACATTGGCCAAACAGGTAAAAAACTCGCAAAAAGAATCAAGGCACATAAAAATACTTCTTCTTCAAATGTCTACTAATAAATGTCTATTAATGCAACTTCTATACAAAACGAATTTAATTTCATAAATAAACTTGCCATAGAAGATAACTATCCCCAAATATAATTAACAAAATACTATGTAACGTTATAATAAAATTAGACCCATTGTTTACTAAGGATACTAATGAATACACCACATTTCGTTCTTTACCTTATAATGACATAAATTATAAAATTAAAAATATTCTAAAACAAAATAATATCAATATTGGTTTTAAAAATAACTACAAACTTATAGATATATTGTCTAATTTTAAAAGCAAAGAACATATGTTAAATAAAAATGGAGTTTATTCTATTAAATGTAACGAATGTGAGGCATTATACATTGGCCAATCAGGTAGAAAACTCGCAAAAAGAATCAAGGAACATAAAAATACTTCTTCTTCAAATGTCTACCAACATAAAATGGAATTTAATCATGACATCGATTATAACAATGTGTCTCTCCTACACAACTGTAAGAAGGGTAAAAAATTAGACCTTTTAGAACAACTCGAGATAGATAAACACAAACATAAAAATCTAAAATTAATGAATGATCAGCTTTGCTCCATTTACAAACCTTTATACTCATACGTAAAATTCTAGTTTTTAATATATCCGTGAAACTTGTTTTATTCTTTTGTGATTGCTCCATTTTAACCTGTAGTGTTGTTCAGTGTCGTCCACTTTACATCTTTATTCTTCGTTATTTTAGTTTTTAAATCATTTTATATTGTGACTTTTATTATTTATTCGACTGTAAATTTACTTATTAATTTATTTTATTTATTTCTATATACTTTTATTATAATTTCGCTTGTAGATTTAGCTGATGATGATAAGTAATTATCGAAACCGGTACTAAGTATATTTATTAGAAAACTGAAAGAGCTCTTTTAATTTTTACCTTATTTTAAATCATACACCTCAGTGATTATGGATTTACTAGAAGAATTAACATAGATGATTGTCAATTTTGATATTTTGAGAAATCCTGGCTTGAACCTAAGAAATGGTGATATCTATGGTGGCATTGACTATGGATTATGTTATCTTGACTCATTATCATTAATTTTTATGGGAAACGTTTTTCTCTATCACCTTTAATTTTCTACTTATAACAGAATTTAACGCAGATGATTGTCAATTTTGATATTTTGAGAATTCCTGGCTTGAACCTAAGAAATGGTGATATCTATGGTGGCATTGACTATGGATTATGTTATCTTGACTCATTATCATTAATTTTTATGGGAAACGTTTTTCTCTATCTCCTTTAATTTTTTACTTATAACAGAATTTAACGCAGATGATTGTCAATTTTGATATTTGAGAATTCCTCTCTTGAACCTAAGAAATGATGATATCTATGGTGGCATTGACTATGGATTATGTTATCTTAGTTCATTATCATTAATTTTTATGGGAAATGTTTTTCTCTATCACCTTTCATTTTCTACTTATAACAGAATTTTACGCAGATGATTGTCAATTTTGATATTTTGAGAATTCCTGGCTTAAACCTAAGAAATGGTGATATCTATGGTGGCATTGACTATGGATTATGTTATCTTGATCCATTATCATGAATTTGGAACCAATCAACTTGGATCTAATGGCTGGTACAACGTTATCGATAATCATCTTTTTGCATTCTGCTGCGTTAATAGACTCGATGTTTTTGGTCACCATTGTTCCTCTTACCCGGTTCTTGCTGTTTCTTTTTGCAGGTTCTTTATAAAGAAAAGGCCAGAGTCCTATTTTGCCGTTGAAATACTGTTTTTAGCACTGTCATAGCGTGGTCTGGCCACTGCAGCCATAAACATAACTTTAGTTATGAACCGTTTACTTTTACAGCGCCTTTCTGGTCCTTCTTCGTCCAGCGTCATGTAGTATGACGTTTTAACTTACGTTGAGTCGTACATATCCTTAAAACATCGATTTGATTTAATCTTCGACAAACAGAACTCTAGTTTCTTTAATTAATTAAATTAAGATTACATTATATTATAATAAATAGATAGAAACTCGTTAATTCTCCAAACTTTCCTTAATCCATAAATTTTAGAAAAATGTATACCGTAATTTGGGACAGTGGGAGTACTAATTTCTATGAATGGTGGAGTATTAAGTAATAGGTTTTAAATATCCGGCTTTGGAAACTATCCGGTATCGACCGGATTTTTAAAAAATGGCCGGATAGGCCGAATACCATATAGTTGCCGGATATCCGTTCCATCACTACTCTAAATCAATGCTCAAGTTTATCTTTTTCACATTTTCCATAGAATTATAAAGCTTTCATAAACAATTTTTTTTATAGTAGTTATTCTGAGCGTAAGGGGAGTTTTGGTAAGAAAATTTATGCTCGTCGCACACGATCTCGGTATGACGAAAGGTGACTGGACTTTTCTCGATGTCGAAATCTTCAAGGTAATTTATAACCATAAAGAAATCACTTCAAAAACTTGTATTTACTTAATCGCTTTTTTTATCCCTTATTGTTATTAATTCAAATCTTTTAGGGTGCTTATTGGGGCGATCACGATTGGGAAGCCGGCGATAAAAACGATTCAAAAGCACGAAAAGCATTCGAAGCACTCCTCCGCGTATCCCTTTTACAACCGACGAGTGATAAATTTCAAGATTTCGCCGATCGCGTGAAGGAACGCGCCCAACTCGATTATAACTACACCATCAGCGAAGGCGAAGAGGTAAATTCTCATCGTATTTTGATAAATTGGGGTGAAATAAAAGTCTTAATTCATATTGAACTCTTTTATTCCCCTAATTAATTGACTTTAGTTAAAAGTTGTTTGACCCCGTTTCGTGTCGCTATTTTTAGGTGAATTTCGTGATCGGAGCTTTCTACGATGGTGTGTATTTACTTGGAATGGCTCTAAACGAAACGATCACCGAGGGTGAAGATATTAGAGACGGACTGGCAATCACCAGACGGATGTGGAACCGAGATTTTCACGGTATTATCGACCGAAAAACGTCTGTGAAAGCTTTGCGAAGCGTGTAGATTTTTTTCTTTATGATTTTTCATCGGCGATTACCGACGCGACTTTTGCGTGGGCTTTACATCCTTTTCTTAAAGACCCTTTTGCTTTTCCCAACACGTTACTTTTACTAAAGCTCGGTAAAACTTAAATCGATGTAACCAGACG